TATTAATTTTACTACTTCACTGATCTTTATATTTTTTGTCTTTAGTTTTGAACCTGATAGATCTGGAGGCTAACAAAAAGCTCAGTATAGTGTAGGGTCCCTGAGTTGTCCCCGCACCATGAATAACCAACTCGTGGGGGTATTCAGTTCTTGAACACAAGGGTGTTCTGGGGGAGGGGAGGAAAGAGAATCTGCTTTGTTTGGCAAAACAGTAGCTAAAAATGTGCTTTTTTTCTCCCCTTTTTGTTTTCTTTTAAGTAATGCTTAGTCTGTGGCAGGAATGGGGTTAGTATGGCTAAGGAGAGGTCAGGGTGGGGATAACCTGAGCCACATGAAGTTTCTGTCTGGGAAACAAGCTTGAGCCTAGCATCATAGATTTAGGATTGCAAAAGACTTCAGATAATCTAGTCCAATTTCATTTTGTTGTTCATTCATTTCAGTTTGTGTCTGACTCTTTGTGACCCCATTTGGGGTTTTCTTAGCAAAGCTACTGGAGTGTTTTGCCATTTCCTTCTCCAGCTCATTTTTCAGAAGAGGAAATTGAGGCAGACAGGGTTAAGTGATTTGTCCAGGATCGCACAGCTATCTGAGGCTGGATTTGAACTTAGGTAAATAAGTCTTCCTGACTCCAGGCACTGCACTCTATCAGATGTGCCACCTTGCTCATTTTACAGTCGAGAAAACTGAGGCCCAGGGAGATCAAATGTTTTGCCAAGGGTCATAAAGGCAGTTTTGACTTTAAATCTAATGCTTTTTCCATTCCATGCCACCCATGTCTTTTGTGCCAGGTTTGGGCCACTTTCTCAGTTTGTGTGCTTATAATAAAACAGTAACTAAAATTCCACTTCCTTGAAAATTGGGAGGATTATCAGCCTGAGTGTCAAAAGTGAACTTAGGCTTGTTTGAGGTTTGTTAGACCAGTATTACCTCCTGTAGGAAGAAGAATATGGAAAATAAGCAAGAGCTAGGATTTTTTTTTCAGTCATCTCTAGATGATTATATTAAGTTGTATGTACCACTTTTATGTGTATGTGTATGTGTATGTATGTGTGTGTGTGTGTGTGTGTGTGAGAGAGAGAGAGAGAGAGAGAGAGAGAGAGAGAGAGAAAGAAAGAAAGAGAAAGGGAGAAATATTCATAGTCAAGCAAAACAAATTCCTGCACTGGCCATGTCCAAAAAATATTTGTCTCGATCTTTATCCTAATCTATTACCTTTTGGTCAAGAGGTAAGTAGCGTGTTTCATCATGAAATTCCAGAGTCCTCTGGAATCTGGCTGGTCATTGCATGGATCAGTATTCTTAAGTTTTTCAGAGTTGTTTGTCCTTATAGTGTTGTTGTTTGTATAACTTGTTCTTTTGGTTCTGTTCATTTCATTCTGCCTCAATTCATATATGTTTTCCCAGGTTGCTCTAAAGCTATCCCATTCCTCATTTATTACTATATAATAGTATGCCATTACATTCATATACCATAATTTGTTCAGCCATTCTCCAACTGATGGGCAACCCCTTAGTTTCCTGTTCTTAGCGACCACAAAAAGAAGCTAGGATGATTTCCTTTTTCCAGATGACATGTCCACTAATAGCATTTCTCTGTGACCTCAAGCTTTCCTGTCTTATTTTTTCCCCTTCATAAAAACTACAATAAATCTAAAATCTGATGCCCCAACCTGCCTAAAGAAAATCCACTGGATAGCAGGGCAAAGTCCAGGATAGCAAGAAGTCTTTGGATAACTCCTCCATGCCCTTTGCAAGTCTTCACCTTGCTAACAGGTTACCTGGGTCTGCCTATACTTTGGCAAGCACAGCTCCAGCTCTCCTTCTTCAGTCAGTCCTTTTTAAAGGAGACTTCTAAGGGATGATAAGTGGCTCTGGAGTTTCTAGTTTAATATTCAACCTGAATCTGGGGAGAGCTGGGTGAAGGTTAGTACTCCTCTGGCTAGTGCCTGTCTTGTTTATAAACATGTTTGCCATTAAGAAGAATAATTGGTGGGGTGGGAGTAGGAAGAGAATGGAAACAATACAGTTAAAATAAGATTGTTAAGCTGAACCGAGACTTCTTACAAATTGCAAAAAAAGATAGGCCTAGACTTTACAGAGACCAGTCAATTCTATCCAGAGTGGTTCCAACCTATATAGCCCAATGGTCTCCAAACTTTTTGATCATGTCCCCCATTAGTAACACATTTTAACATGTATCTTCCAATGTGTATATATTTACTTCCTTACAAATATATAATTCACTATTATACTAATAATTGTGTACGTTATAAAACTTATGAGAAGCAACATGGTCTAGTACAGCAGTTCTCAAAATGTGGTCCAGGGAGCTCTGAAGGTCCCTGAAGTTAAAATTTTTTATAATACTAGGACACTTTAATATCTAATATAGCAAATATCAATAGATATAACCCACATAAACAAAAGCTATTTGAAGGGTTTTCAATTTTTAACAGTCTAAAGAGGTCTTGAGTCCAAAAAATGTTAGAACCACTGGTCTGGTGGATACAGATCTGGCCTGAGAGCCAGGCAGTCCTGGCTTTACACCTCTGCCACATGCTGGCACTTATGTGTGACCTTGGGCAAGTCACTTCACTTCTCTCTGCTCTAGGTAGCTCCTTGATACTGGTAGGTCCAAAGAAAGTTACAACCTTTATTGGTGTAAGAATTTGCTTGTCAGGAAGTTCCTATGGCAATAAAACCAGTCTAGTCCCTATCCCTATAAAACTTACACACACACACACACACACACACACACACACACACACACACACACAATGAGGTAAAGACAAAATGATGCTGTGTAGAGGATGGATTGCAGTGGGGAGAAACGTTAGCAAGATAACCGAGTAGGAAGCAATTGCAATAGCCCTGGTAAAGGTGATAAGGGCCCAAACGAAGATGGTGGCTGTGTGAGTGGAGATAGCTATGAGAAATATGGAGTAGAAATGACACATTTTGGTAGTTGATTTGATATGTGGAGTAAGGGAGAGTGAGTAGTTAAGAATGATGCCAAATTCCAAAACCTGGGTAACTGGAAGGACACTGTTGGTATCCTTACAGAAAAAGGAAAATTTGGAAGAGGGAAGTGGGTTGGATGAGGGGAGGGGAACAGACAATACGAGATCTGTAATGATCACAGCCCATTCATGCCTGCTAATACTGAGTGACTCACTTGGTTCCACCCAAAACAAAAGTTAGGGGAGTAGAGAGAGTAAGATGGGGGATGGGAAAGAGGGTTCTTACTCACTGGCTACTATTCCAAAGCTCAAAGCCTGCCACTTTAGGGGTCCCTGAAGCAGTATGGGAATACAGGACACAGAATGGGATATTTTGCCTGCAGCAAAGCAGCAGATGTAGATGAGTAGAGCCAGAAGTAGAAGGAGCTAGAGCTAGGAAGTATTGAAGTTGAAGGGGGTAAAGTAGGGAGGTTGTGAGTGATAATAGACAAGAGAGTGGTTCTTATGTTGTAGAGACAAGCCCATGCTACGTTATCAAGGGGAGGGTGGGATATGATCATTTTCTCACACTCCCACTGTCTCATGCTATGGTCCCCACTTTGGAGATCACTACTGTAGCCACCAGTACCTCCACAATAAAGTTTAGGCCTTGAGGTAAGGTTCCTGATTGTTACTATTGTCTCACCTACAGTACCTTGACTATCAGACTAGAGGATAGCTGGGCTGGGCAACCAAGTTCCCCCTGCATTTAACAAAATCTCAGCCTGATTTTATCCCAAATACAGATACATAAAAGAAATGTATACTGACCATTTTCAAGGCTTTTTCTCTGTGAGCCAGATAATTCTTGTCCTAGCATCAGGCTAGGTAAATTTGTTGGACTTCTTTCAAAAGGACTTTAAGATAAATTGATTTAACCACTACTAGGTCTGTATCCCAAAGAGATAATAAAAAAGGGAAAAGGATCCACATGTAAAAAAATATTTCTAGCAGCTCTTTTTGTGGTGGCCAAGAATTGGAAATTGAGGGGATGTCTATCAGTTGGGGAATGGCTGAACAAGTTGTGGTTTATGAATGTAATGGAATACTATTGTTCCATAAGAAATGGTAAGCAGGCAGACTTCAGAAAAACCTGGAAAGACTTGCACGAACTGATGTTGAATGAAGTGAGCAGAACCAGGAGAACACTGTACACAGTAACAGCAACATTGTGCGATGACCAGCTTTGTTAGACTTAACTCTTCTGAGCAATGCAATGATCTAAGACAATTCCAAAAGACTCATGATGGAAATGCCATCCACATCCAGAGAAAGAACCATGGAGTCTGAATGCAGAATGAAGCATACTATTTTCTCTTTCTTTTGTTGTTTTTTTAATGGATATTTATTTTTTATTAATTTATTTTGAGTTATCAACAATCACTTTCATAAGCTTTTGAGTTTTAAATTTTTCTCCCCCTCCTTCCCCACTTCCCAAGACAGCGGGCAATCTGATATAGGCTATACATATACATTCCTGTTAAACATATTTTCACATTAGTCATGTTGTAAGGAAGAATTAGAACCAATAGAATGAACCACTCTTTTGTTGTTTTTTGTTTTTTTCTTTCTCGTGGTTTTTACCTTTTGTTCAGATTCTTCTTTCACAGCATGACTGATGTGGAAATATGTTTAATAAAACCATACGTGTATTGCCTATATCAGATTGCATGCCATCTTGGGGAGGGGGAAGTGGAGGAAGGGGGGAAAATTTAGAAGTCAAAATCTTGTAAAAGTGAATGTTGAAAACTAAAAAGAAATTAATTAATAATTTAAAACAGAAAAATTGATTTAAAATCAAACTGATTCAATCGCTAGTACCTTGATTTTAATAAACATTTTTTATAAGTGGATACTTTCCTGAATTTGATATAACCATGATGCATCGTCTTCTGAGATCAGAAGGAGGTTCTGTGTGAGGTGAGAGAAGGGAAGAGATGTTGGCTCCCTTTTTAGAAGGCAAACATTTTAAAGGAGTGAATGACTTTTATATTTTTTCAGATGAATTTCCCAGATACATCAGAAATCTGAAAAATGACCTGGTTATTTACCAAAGCTAACTGAAACTGCTATTTTTAACACTACTGGATCAAGTTAACAATCTCCGATTCAAAAGGTCAGTCTCATAGGTTTGTAAAATGTTAGAGCTAGAAGGGACCTTAGGGATTCTTTTGTTTCATAGTCGTGAATGTGTATAGAATATTTTATGCCAAAGAATTAATCACCTGGTGGCCAACCTGTCCATACTTAGCTGGTCTGGTGCTCAGTTAGTGTTTCACATGAAGGTGATAGCCAAAGCCTTTTCAGTTTTGTATGCCAGATGGGGCTTTCATTCTGTTGGAATAGCCAGCCTTCCAGAATTCAGGTCATTCATGGCTAATGTGGGAATTTGTTTTGCATGATTATACATATTTGTAATGGATTTTGTTTTTCTTATCTTGTCAATGGGTGTAGAAGGGGAAAGAGGAAAGGAGAGAATTCAGAATTGGAAATAAAATAAAATTGAATTTAAAAAAAACAAATTCAGGTCATTCCCATACCATGATAAAGCAGCAGAATAAGGTTTTTGCAGTCATGGCAAAATATGACACAGATAAAACTACAAACCTGGGTCTCTGAAGCTCCCTTTAGCTCCCTGCAGTGACAATGGGAAAGACAGGAACAAAATATATTAAGAATCAGTTTTTAACCATCCATAAGCATTAACTTAACTGGTACTTTAAATGTAAAATTCTTATCCAATGACCAGTTCAGCTGATACATTTACATTCTCACTATAAATTTCAAATACAGTGATATAAAGAAGTTACAGCTAAATGGAAGAATGTCTCACAGCTCTTTTCTCTGCAGAAAATGAATAAAGGAATTGGTAAAGTTGGTTTCATCTTGCACGCGTAGACAACATGAAATGTCATTTTATGACCTTCATGAAGTTGGTTGTGGCTTATGTACCAATATCTGTTGAAAAGCATTAGGTAATAGATAAATTCAGCAAAGAACTTGCTGAGAGCCTCCAAACCAAGTAATGTATCTTGACATTCAGTGACTTCAGGGCAAAGAAGAAGGGTAAACGTGGAGAATAGCAAAAATATATTGGAAAATATGGTTTGAAATTAAGAAATGAAAGAGGCCAAAGGATCATAGATAACTTGGAAAGCTCCATCTGTAGATGTGAATACATACATATGTCTGTATGTACTGGATGCTTTTTTAAAATTTTTTTTTTAATTTTCACATTAGTGATGCTGTAAGGAAGAATTAGAACCAATAGGAGGAACCAACAGAAAGAGGAAACAAAACAGAAGAAAAAAAATAGCAAATAGTATGCTTTGATCTGCATTCAAACTCCATAGTTCTTTCTTTGGATGTGGATTGGATGCTTTCTTTAACATAGAGAGTTGGAGCCATTTCCAATTTGATACAGTTTTCAAAAGAATTTCAAATTATCCACAATCATGTAAAAAGTTGTTTCTAATCACTACTAAGAAAATGCAAATTAAAATGATTCTGAGGTTTCATCTCAAACCCAACAAATTAGCAAAAATGTCAAAAGACAAATAGTCAATATTGAATAAGCCATGGGAAGAAAGGCATACTAATACACTGTTGGAGTTGTGAATTGGCCCAACCATTCTGGAAAATAGTTAGAATTATGTGAGAAAAATCATTAAATTACTCATACTCTTTGTCCCAGAGCTCCTTGTTGTTATTGTTCAGTCACTATTAGTCATGTCCAACTCTTCATGACCCCTTTTGGGGTTTTCTTGGCAAATATACTGAAGTAGTTTGCCATTTCCTTCTCCAGCTTATTTTACAGATAAGGAAACTGAAGCAAACAGCTTACACAGGGTCACATAGCTAGTAAGTGTCTGAGGCTAGATTTGAACTCATATCTTACAGATTCAAGGTCTGGCACTCTGTCTACCGTGCCACTTAGCTGCCCCACAGCTCCTACTACTTGACAGAAAAGGTAGCCTCATATATATACCAAAATGTTCAGAACAGCACTTTTGTGGTAGGTGAAAGTAAGGTGAGTGCTCATCAACTGGAAAGTGACTAAACAAATTGTAGTATATTAAATACAATGGAATATTATTTTGCTGTAAAACTGAATTCAGAATAACATGGGACTCATACAAACTGATACAGAATGAAGTTAGCAGAATCAAAAGAACAATACATATGATGACTACAATAATGTAAATGAAAAGAAAAACAAAGCCAAATGCTGAGTAATTATTATGACCAATCTTAGCTTCCTGAAATGAGATGAGGGAAGTACCTCCTTCCTTTTAATAGAGAAGTGGAGGACTACAGGTGCACAACATTTTAATACACTGATGGGTATAATTCATGTGTCTGTTGGTTTTACTTCACTGTTTTTTAATTTATTTCCTGAAAGCTCATTTTGTATGTTATATCCAGAAATAACTGATGATGGAACAAAATTAATATTTTTAAGTTGAAAGGTGCTACAGACCTGGAGAATTTAAACACACACACATACACACACACCATCCAAAACCCTGAAATTGACATCTTAACAGACAAGAAATGACCAGTGACTTTTATAAAGGCCATCTCAGTATCAGTCTGGAGTCAGATCATGAATTAAAACAAAGGTCAAAATTAACAGACTGGAAAAAAGTATAAAAATGAGTTATAACTACATAGCTCCAAACCTGTTTTGACAATCTGTTTTCTCTGAAAAATGAGAAAAGTATAGAAGTAAAATCACTGTTTTTCATTATGACTATTACTTAGACATTTAACTAATATAACAAATTTACTTTCAGTCAACAAATACTGGATCACCTTTCCATTCAGAGACATGGCAACCCAGTGTAACACCAGAATACTACTAGCTCGTTTGCAAACTATTAGAGAGGACGATAATGGGGGGGTGCAGGGGACAGGAGAACTATCATTTTATACAACAAAAAACAAATAATGAAGAGGATAACAAGCCTTCAGAAAACTTGGCTTGAGACTCAACTAAACCAGATCATTCCAAGAGCATTTGCAGATAAAGCTGGAAAGAAGACAACAAATAAATGTGAGATGGAACCAATCTTCCAGAATTTCAATAGTGATCTATCTTCTTAATCTGGGAGACTACAACCATAATATTTGGATGCCACCACTTTGGTACCTCTTAATTACTGAGGGGGTAGAGGTAATAAAAATAGCACTGAAGAAAATGAGGAATTAAAAATGGCACCATAGAAATAGAAAATTAAATTAAGAATTATGACTGAACCGGATCAAATAACATATGGAACAAATCTATTCTGGAGGCAATGCAATTTTAAAGATACTCAGGGATTTTTTTCTTAATGATATCTAAGGAGAAAATTTCAAAAGAATGGAAAAAATCATAGATAATCCATTTTTTGAAAACAGTGACTAAGAAGACATGTTAACTACAACTCACATACCTACTTTCTCATCTGAGATCTGTATATGAATGGTCCATTTATGCAACAAGGTTTTACTTGATGGAAAATATGAAAAGGGATGGAATAGACATACTGTAGCAGATGATTCTTCTTAGTAGATCACAACATCAGTTATACAAACGATTTGGGTATAGAGAATATAAAACCCCACTTTATATATATACATACATATATATATACATATATATATTTTTTTTTTTGCAAAAAATATTTGACTCAGTAGGAAAAAATGTACCCTTAAAGACTCTCCCACAAGGTGCTGTCCCATGCATATGTTAAGATCATTTAAGATTCCTTGATAGCTATAACCACCAAGAGAATTTTTATTCAGTTATCCTCTGTCAGTATCAAGTGACTGTCAAAATAGACCTGTTCTCCACAAAGGTGTTCACCAGTGCCAAGAAAGATGTCCTGTTCAAAGCCCAAATGAAAGAGGGAATCCCTATAGATAGTGAAGTGGTCCATATGTTCCTGTTTAAAGATGACATTGTGCAGATTCCACAGAACCAATTCTACAGGGCCTCCTCCATGGGATCCAGGGTCACTCTAAAGAAATTTTCCTTCCCATACAGGAAAAACATGTATTGCCCAGATTTATGAAGTTAGATGAGCAACTCTTTGCATTAAATAGGTGCTGTCAGATGGACAATAAGCTGGGCTTAGAATTGAATAGGAGAATGCAAGTAGAATGTAAACCTATTGAGGGCAGGGACTGTTTTATATTTAATCTGTGTATCCCCATTGCCAAAAGCACTGTGCCTTAAATGTAGTAAGCACTTAATAAATTCATGTTGAATAATTGAGGAAATGCTAGATCCTGTTTGGGAAATTGCACAATGCAATTTGCAGAGCACACTGCTCCCTGCTGCTAAGGTACATGTTTTAAACATTATTATCCCAGTGATGATAGGTGGTAACAAATCAGGGAATAATGCCACAATATCAATAATCAAAGTTATACTTTACCCAAAAGACAACATAAAGCCATATGATTGGTGTTAATACCTTGTGGCATATCACCAATGGTGACTTACAAGTAAGTAGAGTCGGGGCAGCTAGGTGGAGAAGTGGATAAAGCACTGGCCCTGGATTCAGGAAGACCTGAGTTCAAATCCGGCCTCAGACACATAACACTTACTAGCTGTGTGACCCTGGGCAAGTCACTTAACCCCATTGCCTAGCCAAAATAAAACAAAACCAAAAAAAAATAAAAAAGAAAGAAATGAGGCAAAAGATGGCCTAGTGTGCCTTCACAAAAAAACAAAAACAAAAACAAGTAAGTAGAGTCAAAGACAACAGGAATAATGTATGACTAAAAAGAACATAGTGTTGTTATGTATGAAGAGCATCAGATAGATAGTCTGAATGTTGTATTGGTGACTATGAAATATCAAAAGACTTAGCACTGGGTGGATCTTTTATGGAGGACTTGTGAGAGACCACTGACAAGAGTTGCACAGGCTAAGAAGGCATAGATGGCTTGTAAACTGTGTCAAGATCCACAGATGAGCTCTTGGAGCCATCAAAATGAACATGTTAGGATAGACATCATGGCATAATGGAAGGAGTGAGTGCTGGGGAGGCTGTCAGGAAGACCTGAGTTCAGATCCTATCTCTGACATTTACTAGTTGAATAACCATAGGCAAGTCACTTAATCTTTCTGATCCTAATTCAAGTCACTTAATCTTTCTGATCCTAATTTTTGTTATCTCTAAAATGAGAATGATAAAAATATACCTAACTCAAGGTTGTTATGAGACCCAAATGAGGTGATAGTGTCTGCAAAACACTTAGCTGACATTTATATAGAACTTAAAAATTTTGCTAATAATCATGAGAATATTAACCTGCAGCCAAAACAGATAAAAAAAAATTTCACTTTAGAAGTGCTAAGTTTCAGGTATTGGGACTTCCAGATGGAGATAACAAGAAAGCATTTGGAAATATAGGACCTAAACTCAGGGCACAGGGCAGACTGAATATATGCATTTGGGAATCATCTGCTTCAAGGTCATAATTTAAGCCATAGGAGTAGATGAGATTGCCTTTGGAGAAAACTTAGATAACAGGGCTGAGGACAGAGTTTTGAGGGATATCTATACTTAATAGGCAAGAGGAATCCAGTGACAGAAATCAAGAAGGAATAATCAGAGGAAAGAAGAAACCTAGGAGGGCACAGTGTCATGAATTCCAAGGAAGAAAAGAGTATTAAGAAAGACTCAAAAAAATAAAAGGCTCAATACTCTCATACTTCAGAAGGGTTAAGGAGTATGAGCGTGGAGAAGAGACTATTGAATTTGGTAATCAAAGAGATTATTGGTGTCTTTCAAGATAACAGTTTCAGCTGAGTGATGGGAACAGAAACCCAGATTACTTGGGATTAAGAAAAGAATAGTGATAGCAGTCTACATCTCCTACTTGAAACTTGCCTTTTAGAAATAAAGGCTTTATTTTTTATGTACTAGTCAACTGTCTTCTCATCACTGTGTAATCGAGCATGTTATATCCAGCAATATATCCATAGTTTGGGAACTGATGCTAATAATCTCTGTTTTTATGTTTTGTTTTACTCCTACAGTCCTTTCCAGCTGTAAGAGATGTGACTCTATAATTCCCAGACCAAAACTAACTGCTTGATTATTCATAGAAGTAGAGCTCATGAATGGAAAAAAGAAAGAACTAAATCTACACCAAGTGTGATGAAAGTTAAACAATGATCATTTGATCGGTCCAAGTTGAAATCAATCTATGTGCCAAAGTTTGGCATAATTTAATGTTCCATATCTAGATGCTATGTACCCAACTGGTAGAATGCTAAATAATTTACTCCCCCAACACACTTAAAGTTAATTTTTCAGTTTTCAAACTAATTTAGCCTGACAAGCATCTTTTTGTCTAATGAAAATTTTTATACTAAATCAAGTAACGATATTTTCTTTGGTTTTCCTAAATTACCTGTAGAGGAGATTGTGGCAACCCTTTTGTTGCAACCTGTTCCTAGCAAGCACTTTTTAGGAAATTTTTCATAAAGATGAGAGGTAGTGTAATATAGTAGAGAATTGGACTTGAAGCCAGGAAGATCTGAGTTTTAGTCTTGGTTATGTCAAATACTGACTTGCAACCCTTAGCAAATCATTTAACCTCTCAGTGTTGTAGGCAACTCTCTAAGACTAAGTTGCAGAAAAGATATTGACCCGAATTGGTAAAGGGAGTTTCCTCACTTGGGAGTTCTTTATACCAATGTTTTTAAACATCTAACTCATTTAAATAGACAGACCCTATTTTCTTTTTTTTCTTTTTTATTAATTTATTTTGAGTTATCCACAATCACTTTCATAAGCTTTTGAGTTTTAAATTTTTCTCTCCCTCTCTCCCCACCTCCCTCCCCAAGATGGCACACAATCTGATATAGGCTATATATATACACATTCCTATTAAATATGTTTTCACATTAGTCATGTGGTAAGGAAGAATTAGAACCAATAGGAGGAACCACAAGAAAGAGAAAACAAAACAAAACAGAAGAAAAAAAAAGAGCAAATAATATGCTTCCATCTGCATTCAAACTCCATAGTTCTTTCTTTGGATGTGGATAGCATTTTCCATCATGAAACTTTTGGAGATGTCTTAGATCCTTGCATTGCTGAGAAGGGCTAAGTCTATCAAAGTTTGTCATTGCACAACGTGGCTGTTACTGTGTACAACATTCTCCTGGTTCTGCTCACTTCACTCAGCATCAGACCATACAAGTCTTTCCAGGTTTTTCTGAAGTCCACTTGCTCAAAATTTCTTATAGTACAATAGTATTCCATTACATTCATATACTACAACTTGTTTAGCCATTCCCTAATTGATAGGCATCCCTTCAATTTCCAATTCTTTGCCACCACAAAAAGAGCTACTATAAATGTTTTTGTACATGTGGGTCCTTTCCCCATTTTTATGATCTCTTTGAGATACAGCCCTAGAAGTGCTATTGCTAGATCAAAGGGTATGTACATTTTTATAGCCCTTTGGGCATAGTTTCACACTGCTCTCCCAAATGGTTGGATCATTTCACAACTCTGCCAGCAATGAATTAGTGTGCCAGTTTTCCCACATCTTCTCCAACATTTATCATTTTCCTATTTTGTCATGTTAGTCAATCTAATAGGTGTGATGTGGTACCTCAAAAGTTGTTTTGATTTGCATTTTTCTAATCAATAGTGATTTAGATAGAGCATTTTTTCATATGACTATAGATGACTTTAATTTCTTCATCTGAAAACTGCCTGTTCATATCCTTTGACCATTTATCAGTTGGGGAATGACTTGTATTCTTATAAATTTGACTTAGTTCTCTACGTATTTTAGAAATGAGGCCCTTATCAAAGATACTGGTTGTAAAAATTCTTTCTCAGTTTTCTGCTTCCCTCCTAATCTTGGTTGCATTGGCTTTGTTTGTGCAAAAACATTTCAATTTGATATAATCAAAATTATCCATTTTGCATTTTATAATGTTCTCTATCTCCTATTTGGTCATGAATTCTTCTGTTCTCCATAAATCTGACAGGTGAACTATTCCTTGCTCTCCCAGGTTACTTATAGTATCAGCCTTTATATCTAGATCATGAATCCATTTTGACTTTATTTTGGCATATGATGTACGATTTTGTTCTATGCTTAGTTTCTGCCATACTCTTTTCCAGTTTTTCCAGCAGTTTTTGTCAAATAATGAGTTCTTATCCCAGAAGCTGGGGTCTTTGGGTTCATCAAATAGTAGATTACTATAGTCATTGACTACTGTGTCTTGCATACCTAACCTATTCCACTGATCCACAGACCCTATTTTCAAGACTTTCTAAAAATTCCTCCCAAATGTGTGGTCTCGTATAGTCTTTGATCAAGTGATACTGACCTCTGGCTTTTCCACAAAGACACTCCATCTCTCAACTCTAGGCTTTTTCTCTGGCTGTACTTCATGCTTGGAATGCTCTCCCTTTTCACTTCCATATACTGGTCTCCCTGGTTTCAATTAAGTTTCACCTAAAATCTAACCCTTTTCAAGAAGCTTTTCCCAACACTTCTTAATTCTCGTGCCTGCCCTCTCTTAATTATATCCTATTTATCATATGTGTGTGTGTGTTTATCTACCCCCACCCCAGTAGACTGTGAGTTTCTTGAAGACAGGGACTATATTTTGCCTTTTTTTTGTATGAATAGAATTGAGTAGGGTGCCTGATACTTAACACATTAGTTATTGGACTATTTGTGTCTGACCTGTGGTAGAGCCTTCCAAGCTTCTGTTGGTGTGATAAGCCATAGTTGAACACATTGGACCTTGACCCAAACACAGTGATGTCATTTTTGTCCTTTTCAAGAATGAAGGACACCCAGTAACCAACCAACCATTAATTAATCCAGCTGCTCTGGTAAGCAAATTGGAGTTATGTGAGAAAAATTACTGACCTGTTCATACCCTTAGTGCCAGTGTTCCCCATATTAAGCATAGACACCAAGGAAGTCAGATATATAAAGAAGGCCCCGTGAACCATAAAATATTCATAGTACTCTTTCTTTGGTAAGAAACTGTTGGGAACAAGGTAGCTTCTTATCTGTCATTCAACTAAAATTGCTTTCTCCAAATTTACTATTGGTTCCTTAATTATTCCTGTTTCCCTTATTAAAACAAGCAAACAAACAAACTACACCAAATGTGTGGTCTCTACAGTGGGGCAAATAGAAGAAAAACCTCTAAGATGGGTAGAGTTTTAAAGTCATTGTTTTTTCTTCTCCAGGTACAAGGCTGTGCTACTAAGATAAGGCCATTCCCCTTATTACTGCCTTTGAGGAACTTCTCTGAGGCATGGATACTCCAGAGTACAACCGCTTTGTGGATCCAGAGAAAATGGAAGCTATGATCCCAGATGAAGGACCCAAGGACATGATAAGCACAGACTTCCAGGAGATAAAACAGTTGGCACGCCAGGGCTACTGGGCCCGAAACTACACTCTTAGGGGAAAAGTTTACCAAAAGCTGATTGAGGACATTCCATGTCGAACAGTCACACCAGATGCCTGTGTGTACAGTGACATTGTAGGAAAGATTGTGGGCAAACACAGCAGCAGTAACCTCCCTCTGCCTGAGTTTGTGGACAATAGTCTGGTCCCAAGCTACTGTCTGAATCCACAGGGAGAAGAAGCTGTTCGAAAGATTCTCTTGTGTATTGCTAACCAGTTCCCTGACATTTCCTTTTGCCCAACACTTCCAGCAATTGTCGCCCTACTCCTGCACTATAGCATTGATGAAGCAGAGTGTTTTGAGAAAACTTGTCATATCTTGGCTTGCAATGACCCCAGCAAGAGATTTATTGACCAGAGCTTCCTCGCTTTTGAGTCTTCTTGTATGACATTTGGGGACCTTGCTAATAAATACTGCCAGGCGGCCCACAGAATGGTGGTAGAATTGTCGGAGGATGTATTACAGGTCTACTGTGACTGGCATCGGTGGCTCTTTGGGGATCTGCCATTCAGTTACTTTGCCCGAGTCTTTGATGTATTTATGGTTGAGGGTTACAAGGTGCTCTACAGAGTTGCTTTGGCAATTCTTAAGTTCTATTGCAAAGCAAAAGCTGGGCAGCCTCTGGACTCAGACAATGTGAAACAGGATATCCGTGTGTTTGTCAGAGACATCGAAAAGTCAGTATCCCCTGAGAAGCTACTGGATAAATCCTTTGCCATTCGTCTCTTCTCCCGGAAGGAGATCCAGCTCTTGCAGATGGCCAATGAGACAGCTCTGAAGCAGAAAGGGATCACGGTCTATAACAAGAGGTGAGGTAATTAATTTGGTTCTCAGTCCACACCTCAAAACCAAGGGCAGTCTTTCCCATCCTCTCCCTTTTCCTTTAAAATAAGGGTAGGTTGATATTCTGGGGAGTGTGGCACCAATGTCTATGTACTGAACACAGGAAGTTTGTGCTGATAAGAGGAGCAGACATGTATAAAATGATTTTGTGTGTGAATCTGGGCTATGAGTTATCTCAGTGTCCTTCTCTTAGTGAACCTGAAGACTATTGGGTATATTCCCATTCAGCCCCAAGGTCCTTCTAAATAAAAATCATGGGCAGCTAGGTGGTGCAATGGATAGAGCTCCTGCGTTGGAGTCAGGAGGATCCAATTCAAATCTGGCCTCAGACACTTGACACTTACTGGCTGTGTGACCCTGGACAAGTCACTTAACCCCAATTGCCTCACCAAAAAAAAAAAGTAAAAATAAAAAACTAAAAATCGTTAGAGTTTATCATTTTTATAAAAGTGATGACCCAAAGGTCATATATCCCATCTGTGAGAGAATGGTGGGCGTGGGGCAAAAGGAGACTGGACAACCTTTGGTCTATCTCATTTCTCTGGGAACTTGAAGTTCATCTGGGCTTGAGAGATTGGATTGGTTTCTAGGGAAAGTCCAAGGTGCCTTCAGTCATTATTGAGACTGTGAATTGCCTTTTAGGCTACTCAGAAGCTACTACAGCTGCTACAGTGCATTAGTGGCCTTCAAACTCTGGGTCCCATTACTATACTCCCTGTTGTTTCTTAACCAAATTATACACCTCTCTGCAGAACAGTCCCTTAAAGATACTAGCTGGAAAGTCAACATTGCAGTGCTTGTAGGTATCCTAGGGTTAAACTCCTACATCGTCGAGGGCCATCCTTGTCTATGACTAGGTGACTATGTTCAAGAAGTAATATGTTTACATCTTTCTCTTTAGGCCTATGCAAAGAGCTTACTGTGAATCTAGGGACTTATTGTTAATCTTTTCCTATCTGTCTCATTTTTTCTTCAATTCCATGTCCACTGCCTCCTCCTGTTTTTTAGTGTTTCATCTTCTCAAAGGTAGGTTTGAAAACTCAATCTTTTGCTTCTCTTGTCTGTCTTTTCTCTGCCAGTTTTTGAACCCTGCCTCACTAGTGCTATCTGCCAACTCTGTGTGTGCGTGTGTGAGTGTATCTGTGTCTGTGTCTGTGTCTGTCTGTCTGTCTGTCCTATGCTTGGCTGATTCTCCATATCCTGCTTCACTGATGCTATCTGCCCGTCTGTGCTTGGCTAACTCTGGGACCTTGCCTTATTGATGCATCTGCCTATCTGTCTAATCTGTGCTTGCCTGACTCTTGGACCCTGCCTTGCTGATGTGGGGACTGGTTCATGGGAGTTGGGGAAAGCAGCCCAGGGAACCTGTAAATATGGTCCAAAGGGTGAAAACTTCAACACAAGCTAGGGTCACCTTGATGCCCCCAGTTCTGCTTTGTGTAAAATGAAAACATTCCAGGTTTGTGGGTGAGAGCATATGAAGTAACAGACAAAATGGGCAGGCACGTGGGAAAGAGTGAAGCATTCCATAAAATGTGGCTTCTCATCAGGATCTTTGGAAATATCAGAGCACTAAGTTTCCCTTCCTCTGAGGTTATATGTGACCTCAAATTCCTGTCCCCAAAGCACCAAAGAATGTACTATGAAAACTATACAAGCTTTAATGCAGAAAGCATAAATCCAAATGAGAACCTTTGTTTGAAGTGTGGATCCTTATTAATTGGGAAAGGAAAGGGGGGAGCCTGTGATTAGTTCAATAAGCTTAGGGTGTCAGCAGCCTGGTCATACACTGTACCAGCTCTTTGATCTGTAAGTGACAGATATCATTACTATAGTTCTCTGTACTAGAGTAGAATGTTAGGAAGTTTTGTGGAACAAAGAAGGTGAACTGATGTGTGAGTTAGAAGCATCGCTTGTTTTACTTTTTGGAATAGCAAGTTCTTGATGTGAACTGCAGTGCAACAGTACAAAGGAATGAGTGACTCTGCACAGTGGCTAAATTTATCAGCCCAAAGTCAGATTGTGGCTGGTATAGGTGAGTGAAAGTGGGGCCCAGACCAAGCTGGACTGAAAACGCTCTCTCAGCCAAAGATTGCGTGGATGGATCTGGGCTATAGATATGCCTTTCTTGACAACTTTGAGTTTCAGTGTTGCCTCCCTCTCAGTGAGGTAAACCCAGTATTCTAGGTTGTGAAGGAGAATAAGAGTGGGTACAGTCTCAGAGGTCTCAGGTGAAAGACACAATAGAAGGAGGAGAGGGTCCAGGTCCTGATTGTCTTTCCTTTGGGATTGCATTTGGTCCAGGGACAAGGAATGGAGGCAAATAGATTTAAGACCTTTTGCTAGAAATAAGAGACTTGAGGGGCTTCCCTACTCCCTAATTAGAGATTTCGCCTCTCAATCCTCTTTTGCTCACTGTTGTTCTCTTGGTCCTTTTTCCCCTTGTGTTGTGCATATCCTAGCCCTAGGTTCTTTAACTACCTTCCTACTGAGCCTATTCCTTTTAGAGGATTTACTTTCCAAGCCAGAGAAATTAGCATTCGTGGAGATGACTTGTCCTTCCCTGAACTGACAAAGCTGTTGAGGTCACTTGTCTGAATAGTAAGTACTTACTAAAGTTTTGTTGATTCTTGGATGAGTGGAAAAGTAAGGTTCATCTTTTCATTTTTCACATTAAAACTGTCAGAGCAACAGAGGCGACCTTGGAGAGATTCCTAGAGGGGAAGAATTTCAACTCTGGGAATTCAAGCATGTGGAGGGTTCTTCAGATTGGTTTCCAAGTGGGAACTACAACTGTAGTCTTGAAGGAGCAGTCCATTCTGAAAGAAATGTGAGATGTGTGTGCCTGGGAAGTCTGCTTTGTCCCTGAGCACAGTGGCATGGAGTTTTTTTTTCTTGAGTTTGAAGATCTCAATTCAATTCAACAAACATTTTTTATTGCCTTATTATGAGGCAGGCACAGTGCAGAGTGCTTGAAATACAAAAAACTAAATAATCCCTGCCTTCAAGGAACTTAATTCTACCAATAGTTTATACTTTTCTGTATTCACATAGAGCTATCATCTGAACAGGAAGGATAGGTTCTGGCCTCTTGAATATATATGTATGACTTGACAGAACTGGTTGCTCTTGCCTTGAGACTTTAAGGGAAAGAAGGACTCCATCTTATACGTAGGCTGAATTCTTTCACAAGTAAGGGAATAGTGTCTCCAGTAACTTTAGAATTGATGTTGCCTGTACTAGCTACAACACTGACCACCACTTTTCTCTCTCACCTCTTTCTTCCCATGCAGACTGGGAACTCCCACAATGGAAGTTCCATTCAAGCCTGGTCCCAAAATACCATTCTTTTTCCTAGTTTGGCTGCCTGGGAGGCTTCATGGTATGTGGCCACCTTGGAATTCTAAACTCATCTCCCCTCCCCCAGGCAGTTCGTGCACTTGGCTGTTCATGCTGAGAATTTCCAGTCAGAGATTGTCACTGTGAAGGAGATGCGAGACATCTGGTCATGGCTCCCTGAACGGTTTGCTCTCTGCCAGCCTCTGCTGATTTTCTCCACTATGCAGCATGGATATAGCCTGACAAGGTAACCCTATTCAGCCATGCCCTGTCCATGTAGGATCCCAGGGCTAAGGATTTGAATGACTTTTCTCTCATTCAGCTCTTCTATTGACAGCATGGAAAGAGAAATAATGGAGGGGAAGTTGGGGCCCTAGCCTTGACTCCTCCATACTTCCCTGGGTCAACTAAGTGGTAATTAGGGTACTGAAAGGGATGAAGCTCATTTCCTTGCTGCCTGGGGCCCTAATGTCCTGGGGTGAGGCCTTCATACCAATGGTCATAGAAATCTTAGTAACTTCTTATCTAGGATCAACATGTCCTTCCCTTCTTTGGCTTTAGGCTTTACTGCCCTAGAGTGATTAAGCTCAAATAAATATTATTCTTGGGTCCCTGTTATATCTTTCCATGGACCAGAAATCTTAGAGGATAAAGGAGAATACATGGATGGGCTTTGCCCTTGAGAAACTTACTGATTGGTAAAAATGAGAAGAACATTCAAACAGCAAGGCATAGCTGATTCTATCCCATTTCTTTTGACCAAAAGCCTGAGGGAACTAGATGCTGGATTAAGTATGTTAGCTGCTGGTCTCTTTCAGAGCATTATCAGAAAAGGCTCCTCCAACCCCAGCTACTCCATTTTGCCCCAGGCCATGGGAGGGGATTACTGATAAGGTCCACTATCTCTCTCGGGTCACTGCCAGGTACTAGATGGGAATCTGCCAGGTAGAGAGGGGACTGTAGTGTCAGTGCCATTGCTTGGCCTTCCCAAAGCAGAGATACTATGACTCTAATCATAAATGTTCTAGGAAAGGAGATGCCAGCAATCTGCCTTGGCTAACTCCCGTAGGCAGCATCTGCCAGCCCCAATTCAGACACCAAGCAGCCTGAACCACATTTCTTAGTCCTTTCCAACCACTGCAGAACAGCACGTGCCAGGCCTGGCCTCTAAGAAGATTCCAGCCCAAGGCCTCAGGAAGGGTGGAGAGGAGACATAGTTGGCACCAGTTCAGTCCGCACCTGTTTTCTTTCTTTCCTGCAGTGTAATTCCCCCCCGCCACACACACACACATATGCTATTTTATTAAGCAAAGTGTAAGTTTTTCTTAGGCAGGGACCAAGTGTCCTGTTTCTTTTGTGTCCCTTACGGCACCTATTTAGTTTTGTCTACAGTAGGAATGCTGCCGAGAAACTTGACCTGAGCTGTAGGTGCTTTTGCAGAGCTGCTGATCTGCCATGGTGGTGTTCCTCAGCCACTTTGACCTGAAGAGAAAAACTGGACCTTTTTCCTTACCTCCTTACCCCCCTCACCCCCAGCCTGAGCTCCCAACCAACAGAGATAGCTTGTCTTCTTTATCCTTCTTTATCCCCTTCAGTACATCATGGGTGGCACCATAACTACTGCCACTGACATGTCATTTCTGCCTGCAGGCTTTATTACCACTGTGATGGACATGAGCCAACTCTCCTTCTCCTCAAGACAACAACGAAAGAGGTAAGGAAGGCTAGAGACCTGAGGCTTTGGATACAGTCTTATTGCTGACATTTCTAAACTTAGCTCTTCCTGATCATATTATGGCTCTGACTAATAAGAGGGGATTGGGAGAAATGGAGGGTGGTGAGCAAAGCATGGAGCCCCTGGGTGGAAGGATGCCTCTAGAGTATACATGAGGGGGGGATGTTTCAGACTAGGAACCTGAGTTTAGAAAAAGAATATTTGTGGAAATGGTAACTTAATCAAAGAGACATATTTTAATGTTAGTATTTCAAATGTTTTGACAGGTAGACTGGAGGTGGGGGGTTGTGGGGGGGGGTGTTCTTTGACAGGAAGGCCCTAGAAATCACATTCTATCAGTACACTATATTAGGAATTTGCTCTGTCTTTGAGGATATTAAACTCAAGGGGTTCTGGAGCAGGGAGAAAGGTATTCTTGCCTTGTCACTGTGGGACCTTGAGAATTGGGGTCTGAAGAAAGTTGTACCTCTAGCACTAATATCTTTTATTCTTTGTGTCTAAGTTGTGAGCAGGTGCCTGGAGCTTCTGTCTCTGTCCTGCTCCATTTTAGAGATCTCTGAGAAATAACCATTTATAGGGACTAGCAAGAGATCTAGGCATTTAAACCCTGAGGGGAAATGGGAGCTCAGACCCTTTGGGTAGAGTACTGACTGGTTCATTAGCTCCTCTGATAGTTATGAGCCTCCATCCTTTTACCTGGGGAATAACTAGTGTGGGAATTGTTGGGTCTTAATTGTTGGGAGACTGATGTGAAGGTTGGAGTTTCACATTCTCTTTTTCTAGGTTTGTGGTGCTTACCTGTCGACAGATTGGAGGGATCGAAATAAATTTGGAGGCAAGCTGAGCTTCTTTGGGACTGGGGAGTGCTTTGTGTTTAGGGTGAGTGGGCCTTAGTATGAAGGAGCAGGACACTGATGACAAATAAGCACGAAACCTTTAGGGGGGAGTTTAATCTCTTGGGCAGTGTGTGTGCTGATTGGTTAACTGTGCCCCACCCCCAAAGAGGTGTGAGCCACGAGGACTCTCAGGGTGAATAGGCACCTGATAATGGGTCATGACTTTGGGGGGGAGTGAGCATTTTAGCCCTTTTGGCTTCCCTTACCCAGTCCCTGGCCCCTCATTCAGGCCTCAGACCTTTATTCTGATACTTTTGTTCCCTCATCTCCACAGCTGAAGCCAAAAGTTCAACGATATGTGTGGGTAGTGATAAAACACCCAGAGCTGGCCAAGAACCAGAATTCAGCCTCAGAACCTACAACTTCAAGTCTCCAGCTCAGCCACACAGACTCCACAGACCCCTCAAAACGGCTCTCACCTTTCTTGGCCGCTCGGCACTTTGGTCTTCCTTCAAAAGCTGAATCTCTGTTCATGGCTGGATCCAATGAATGCATCATCATAGGTGATATGCTACCCTGCCATGTTTTCTTCTACCATTCCAACCTTGATTCTCCCATATTTTTCTCTTCCTCCTACGTCTTGACCTTTTCCCTGCTACTCTCTCTCCTTTCCTCCCTCCCACCCCAGCCATACAACATGTGTGTACCTCCATATCTGCCTTGAGTATTCTTCCCTCCACGTTTAGTCTAGGATCATATATTTAGAGCTGGGATGGGCCTCAGAGGTCATCTAATCCAAGCCTGTCATTTTATCGGAAGGAAACTGAAGCCAAGAGAGGTTAAGTAATATTTGCCCAAGGTCACTCAGGCTAAAGTGGGTTCCCTTTCTATCCATTCCTATACTTGCTTACCCTCCCAAGGTCACTCAGGCTGGATTTCCTTCCAGATTCTTACCACCCCAGAGGTTGATGCTGGTTCCCTTTCTGGGTATGACCAAAGCACTGGGGCTTGAGGGAGAGTGATGGTATTTGGGGGAATCTCAAGTCTAGCACTGCTCTGCTTTTGGTCTTCCAATAGCCCTCCACCAATGCCAACTGAGCACCTCTGTCCTCAGCCTTAGCTCAGCTACATTGCAGGGTAAACCTTGCCTATGTGTGGGGGAGTTGGTAGTAGTAGAAACAACACTTTTACATGGTAACAAGAGATAATATAATATAAGTGCTGGAAGTTCAGAAGTAGGCTAGAAGAATCAGATTTGTTGTGAAAGACATGCTGACTTTTCAGGTGCCATTAAAATAGTCAAGTGAAGAGGACTAGTTGGCAGTTGGAAATGTGCTGAGGCTTAAGTTGGACTTTATGCACGTTACTCCTAAAGTGATGGTGATAGTTCGAAGCCATATGGATAAATTTGCCAAGTAAATATTATAGCCAGCAGTTATTTTCTAGCTATAGCTGCTGACCTTTTTATCTTCACAGGTGGTGGAGGTGGTCAGGCTCTGTACATCGATGCGGACCTGAACCGAGGCCACACAGGACATTGTGAAACCTTTAACAATGAGCCTCTGTGCTCTGAAAACTTCCTCATCTCTTCCTTAGAGGTATGGGGCTTCTGGAATGCTGACATACAAGAATAGAAACAGCCACACTCGCCAGTCCCTGCAAGGAAGACAAGGACATTCAGGGGCTTCCAGCACAGGAGGAAGGCTACTCCAGGATTGACTTCTCCATTTTCAGGTCGTGATCTTGGATAGAAGCACAAGGCCCTGTGATCTTTTAGGGGGTCTCTCTCCATCCTGGCTTTCTATGATGGCTACTGACCCCTCTGAAAAGTCAGCCTATAGTCAAGAGTTCCTGAAACTTCCCTTCTCTTCATCCCCTAGGGAATGGGTTAGTTTGAGCTGGAGCCTGTTATGGGGATCAGATCATTTCTGGAGACAGACTCAAGCCTTGCCCCATCTGCTTAGAGACTTTGGTGTAATCCAGAGTCCTGTCTCCTCTTGGGACAGAGCCCATGGATGGTGTTGAGGGACAGATAAATAGCAAAGATAATACTATGTGAACCAATTCCAAGGTCATACCTAGGCTCTCTGGCTGGTCCTGAACGGTGGGCTGGTGGGGTGGGGGAAGGAACCTTTGTTCTAAGGGTAATTCAAGGTGCAGATGAACAAAGGCCCTTGCATAGAGTCCTCTGCAATAGCCCAGGAAGTCACCAGCCTTCCCTAGATGTAGCCCTTGGGGCCACCCTTTTCCTCTCTCAAATCATAGGCTCAGATGTGAACAAACAATCCTCCCAACAGGCACCTTATCTTTCTGGGTTTTGGAGAAAGCTCAAGTCCAAGAGACAGAAGTCGTCAGAGGGGATGGAATTAACCTCTGGATCCTGGAATTAGCACTCTCTACACAAATCCCTCATGTCTTCATAGCTGTCTGAGTACCCATTCACCTTCCTCCCTTATCTAGGTATCTTGGTCCCTCTATACCCTCAAAAGAAATCTCATTATATGTGTATATGTCTCTTCCTTTAACACTGAATCTGGTTGTCTGTGCCTGGGTGTTTGTCCTGTTCTTTTTCTTTGGGATCCTGATTTCTCCTCTTTCTGGAGGAAGAATGGGATGAAGGATGGGTGTTTCTGAGGTTACTCTCCACAAATCTCTGATACTGGGACCTGAAGAACAGTGGTTTCATTGCCTCACCAGGGCTTATGCACCATTACTCTGCTACTCCTTGGACTTTGGTGCCCCCATGTGGTTCTTTTGCTCTTTGCCGTAATAGAGAGTGAGAAAGAGGGTGACCTCTGGTGACATACTTATCCTTGGGGTATATAAGAGAAGATCTGCTCTCCTTTGGTTGGATAGTCTTGTCCCAAGCTGCCTCTTGTTCAGGATTCCAAAAAGCCAACCGAACTACGTTATGGAAAAAGAAGAAGTTGCAGAAGTGCTTCTGAGGTAACATTTTCAAGCCAGCAGTACGTCAGAGCTGGTATAGACTTATCTCTGAATGTCTCCATCAAGAGCCCTAACTGATTCTTTCTTCTGCCTTCCCAGTTCCTACTCTGGTTTTTCTCTAGGAATGGGGAAGGCACCATGGCACATACTCTTATCCAATCATACAATGAAACCTTGATCAGAATCAAAGTTACTTGTGGTTCAGAACAAGTAGGCAAAGGATACTGAGACAACATGGGCTGGAGGCACGCCCTTGGAAACTGCCACATCTGACTGAGTTCCCACTAACTAAACTTTATCCTTTTGCTTGCCTAGTCTCTTGGGGCTGGCTACCAACTACAACTGCAAATGTAACACAGGGTTGATTGACATTTTAACCCTTTATTTGCCAGCATTTTACAGCTAAGTTGTGGTAAGCAGGTTTTTTTTTCTTTTCCCAGAGAATTCTGTGTCTGATTAATTTTTTTTTAAAACCTTGAAGCCCCTAGTAACAGTTGTTTTCCAGGAGTGTATGTGGAATGAAGGAAATCTTTACTGTCTTCAATTGGGGCCTGAATAAACTTGAGATCAGGTTCAAAAGCTAAATCTAGTTAAAATTAGGTATGAGTGTCCTTTACAGAGAGAAGTTTGGGAGCTGAGTCATTTCATTTCAATTCAATATTTATTAAACTGCAAAGCATTGTTCTAGGCACTAAGGATAAAATAAATGAAACAGTTTCTGATCCTCTAGCTTGCAATAATTCATAATCAACAAGCATTTATAAAATGTTTATTCTGTGCCAGGCACTATGCTAAGCACTGGGGATATAAAGAAAGTCAGCACTGTCTCTACCTTCAAGAAGCTCACATTCTAATGGAGGGACAACATGTAACTATGTAAGTATAAGATCCATACAGAACATATGGAAGGTAATCTCAGACAGAAGGAATCGGGGTGAGGAACACTGGGACAGACCTCCTGCAGAAGGTGGGATTTAATTGGAGTCTTGAGGAAAGCTAAAGAGGCAGAGAAAAGAAGGAAGAGCATTCCAAAAGTGGAACAGAGAGCCCAAAGCCTAGTCAAAAGGTGAAGTGTCTGTATAAGAAACCACAAGAAGGCCAGTGTAATTGAAATGTAAAGTGTAAGAAGACAGGAAAGGTAGAAAGGGGCTAGGTTGTGAAGGGCTTTTAACGACTAACAGAGAACTTTATATTTGATCCAGGTTGTAACAGGGAGGGACTGAAACTAATTGAATGAGTGGAGCATGAGCTGACTTTTCCAGTTACACACTGCTGCCTGATACACTGGGACCAACCCTACCCCTGACTGACCTCCACCCTGCTACTGATACATGCAGAGATGGGCATACCTTTGATCTTGCCATCAACCACAATGTACTACTTCCCGTGTTCAATGAACGCTGAAGTTCTTTGATCACAATCTCTTATCATTCCACCTTCTCCTTTCCCTTACAACCCCAAAACCTGTTCTTCATCCTCACTATGACTTCTAGTCTCACCACTACTCCTATATGGACTACACTTTCTTCCCTTCCCCATCTTGACCTCTTGGTGAACCAATTCAACCCTATGCTGTCCTCTCAAGTCCCTTGGATTCTTATTGAATCAAATATTTTGCTCTGCCAAACCTGAGCCTTGAATTACTCCCAACGTGTGCTGCATTCTCTAATAGTGCTGAATGAAGCTAGAGAAAACCAAAAAGCTGAACTCATGCTGATTAGGGTCACTCCAAATGCATATTCTCCCAACTGGGCCCCTGCTGGAGCAAAGCAGTCCTTTTACACCTTCCTAACTAATTCACTTCCTACTCGCCTTAGCAAAAATTTTCCAAATTTTTTTCATCCCTCTTCAAACCTCCCCCTAGCCTCTCAGCTGAGAGCCTTGCTTCATATTTCACTGAAAAATTGAGGCCATTTGAGAGAGCTCCCTCTTCTCCCCTCCTCATCTTAATCAGATACCTTCTGCAACCATCTCCTTCACCCATTTCACATGAAGAAGTGACCTTTCTCCTTGCCAAGGCAAACCCCTCCATAGCTATGCACAAGTGATCCCATTCCATCCTTCCTTCTCCTGGGATGTTAGAGGAGACAATCCCTAGTCTCTCATTTATATGGAATCTCTTGCAGTCCACTGGCTGTTTCTCTACTCCCAATAAACATAAATGTCTATTGTCTCCTCTATCCTCAGAAAATCCTCACTTGATCCACCCATCCCCACTAGTTATTATCCTATATCTCTTCTCCCTTTTTGGTTAAATTTTTAGAGAAGTGTATACACCTAATGCCTCCATTCCTTTCCTCTCACTCTTTTCTTGACTCTTAGCATTCTGGCTTCTGACCTCATCATTCAATTGAAACCACTCTCTCCAAAATTACCAGTGATCACTTAACAAATCTTATGGCCTTTCCTCAATCCTCACCATTCTTGACCTCTCTGCAGCCTTTAACACTGTAGATTACCCTCTACTCCTTGATACTCTTCTCTCTAGGTTTATGTAACACTTCCTTCTCCTGGTTCTTCTCCCTATTTAACCATTTTTCTTTCTCCATTGCTGGATCTTCATCCAGGTCATTCCTGTTAATCAAGGCTCTCTCCTGAGCCAGCTTCTCTGTATACTATTTCACTTGGTGAGCTCATCAGCTCCCGTGGTTTCAACTATCATCTCCATGTAGATCGACTTGTTGATCCCTAACCTCTCTCCTGACCTCCAGTCTTATGTCTCTAACTGCATATTGGATGTCTTGTACTGGCTGTCTCACAGACATCTTAAACTCCATCTTAAACATGTCCAAATTTGTTCTAGTTTTCCCCAAACCCTCCCATCTTCCTAACTTCCCTATTACTGTGGAAAGGACCACTAGTCTCCCAGTTACTCAGCTTTACAATCTAGGTGTCCTCCAGGACTCCTCACTCTCATCCCCCATATATCAAATCAGTTGCCAAGTCCTGCCATATCTGCCTTCATAACGTTTCTCATGTATGCCCCCTTCTCTCCTGTGACACTGCCACCATCCTGGTATAGGACCTCATCCCCTCATACGTGCACTGTTGCAAATAGTCTACTGGTGGGTCCGCCAGCCTCAGGTCTCTCCCACTCCAATCCCACTCTCCCAGCTGTCAAACTGATCTTCCTAAAGCACAGGTCTGATCACCTTCCCCCTTCTACATTCAATCAACTCCCTTTTTTTGCCTATCACCTCTAATAAAGTCCTGTTGTTTTTCATAACCAGACTCCTTCCTGCCGTTCTGGTCTCCTTACACCTTACCTCCCCCAGGCCCCACACACCTATACTTTGTGATGCAGTAACACTAGATTCCTGACTGTTTCTTGCACGCCACACTCCACATCCCAACTCCAAGGGTTTTTGCTGGCTATTCCCCATACCTGGACTGCTCACCCTTCTCATTTCCACCTCCTAATTTCCCTGACTTCCTTCAGGTCTCAGCTAAAGCCCCACTTTCTGCAGAAAGTCCTTCCCTGTCCTCATTAATCTTATTGCCTCCTGAAATTATCTCCAACTTACCCTGTAAAGGTGTCCCAAAAGTCTTAGTGCAGTTTTAAGTTTTAATGGCTTAATACTGCACTTTAATAGCTTAATACTGTCTGCACACAGCTATTTATTTGTATGTTGTCTCTCCTCTTAAACTGTGAACTTGAGAGCAGGGGCTACCTTTTGCCTCTCTTCTTAATGCCCAGCACTAAGCACAGTGCCTGGCACGTAATCGATGCATAATAAATGCTAGCTTACTGACTGACTTTAGGAAAATCACTGGCAGCTGAAGGGGAAGGATAAATTGGAGAGGGGAGGCATTTAAGGCAGGGAGAGCCAACTGGAAGGCTATTACAATAATCCAGGTGAGAAGTGCATGAACTTGGGTAGTAGCTAAATGAATAGCAATAAGGGGATATATTGAAGAGGTAGAAATAAGGTTTGGCAACTGATTAGTTATGAGGAAGACTGCAGAGTTGAAGGTAATACCAAGTTTGTGAACCTAAGTGACTTAAAAGTGGAGCCCTTAACATCAATAGGAAAGTTCAAAAGAATGAATTGAGGGGGAGGAAAGATATTGAGTTCTGCCAAAAGGCAGTTGGAAATATGTATCTAGTTATCAGGAGAAATATTGGAGATAGAGATAGGGATGAAAATCAATCACATAGAGATGTTAATTTGAAAGAGTGGAAGTGGATTAGTTCATTTAAGGAGAGTCTAGACTTGAGAACTATTTCCATTGAAGGGTCTGGTTGAGGGGGACCCTTGGTTGTTGGTTTAGAGACATATGTAACTTTTCGATATGTCTAATGTGAATTTTTTCTTGACTGTGATAAAAAGAGGGCTTTTAGAGGGGGAGGGGAAGGGATAGGGATAGTGATAGAAATTTTAAAAAGGAAGAAAAAGGATTGAAAGGAAATGTACAGAAGAGATCGAAGGAGGTTGAGGGCAATAGATAAGTGAGATAGCTTTGGAACTACATGCCTGGTTGAATTTATACTTAAACTATTGGTAATAAGACTAAGTTTCATTTAGAATCTTTTTTTTCTTGTTTGTATAGGGAAATATTATTTTTGTATTTGTCAGGTTCAGAATAACAAAAAAAAATT